CTTGAACAGCATCACAGGATCAGAATTCTCTGGACTTTGTCCACATATTACAATGGTGTCTGCATTTAGTTTCAAGAGGTATGAAGCAGATACATTCTTATTCATAAACCATTTGAAACAGGTTAATTCTATCACTCTAGCTTTAGCTTAACAAGAGCAAGAAGAGTTGCATTTGAAAAACAGTGGCATTTTGGTAGCTTCTAGCTTGGAATGAAAAGCAGAAATGGTTTGTTTTCGTTTTCTACTATAGAGCAAGGCTGCAGGCGTTGAGCAATGCAATCTGTAAGCGTGCGGATATATTCTGCACCACTGATTAGAGTGTAAATCTTTTTCAGTTCTGCTATTTCTTCAGGGTTCAATTAGCAGGGTGTAGATCATATTCTAAGTCTGAACTCTGGGCCTATGCAGTTGGCAGGCTTTTCTGTGGACCCTCATTCACCTGTGAAATCTGATGGTAAATTCCATGTGCTCGTGCATGGCAGATGTGTCCTTTTTGTCACAGCACCATGGCTTCCTAAGCCTCAACAGTGGTTGCAGTAGGAAAATGCAGGCCTTGGGCTATACATTTAAAACAAATAGAAACGGATTAAGCCATTCTAGCCATTATGGTGGCCTATTCAGGTATGGCAGAATGCAATAATCGTCTCCCCCCACTCCCCCCCCAGAAAACCAATATACATTGTAGGCGGGTTTGATCTATACTCATCCAGCTGATCAAATATTGATTCCCCCCTACCCTATGGATGCTTCCAGACAGAGGGCTTCCAGCACTACTGATCAGGAAGGTGACATAGTAACTCTATAGCATATTCTTCCTTTCTTGAAGAATTTTCTGTAATAAGAGAAAGACTGGAGAAATAGCAGGAAAGTGCAGGACAATTGGATCACACAACAATGAGGTTTGGGCCTCTGTAAATGGCCATAAGTGAGGCAGTATGGTAGTATAATAAGATCTTTGTAATTAAGAATTACCTCTGTGTAATTAAGAATTCAAGGCAGCTCTTATGGTGCGAATGACACATAACATAATATGCTGCTGTCGAAAACAGAAGCATTCAGCTTGGTGAATGGAATTCTCAAGTAATGGAGGCATTTACTCATCCTGAACCCTTGCATCTGGGAGAAGACTCCTCGAATCTTCGCTCCACACCAGAATATGCTACAGGAGAGAAATAGAGAGCGGGGTGGTGCAATCCAATTCCAGCTTTCAACTTACCTAGCCTCTTTCTCTTCCACTTAGTACCATTTGTACTTCTGCCACCCTCCTGCCTGATTCTAGCTTCCTCTTGTGCTTGTAATGTTCTCATGGCCAAATAAGCGATCACACTCATAAATGAATAATGGAAATAGAGGGTACCATAGAGATGTTGATATGTATGTATTTCATTCATTCATTCATTAGGTTTATATTCCATCTTTCTCTGTGAAAGAACTCCAGACATTGTTTTACCACTTCCTCACATACTAGAAACCTAAAATTTTGTAGCCGGCGTATTACTGAGAAAGAAGGCAACACATGTGACAAGCAGAAGGGGGATATGCTGAATTGGCCATAGAGAACTTGGTTTGTCTTAGCCACATCTAGGAAGATCCAGCAAGCTGGACGTGCAGGAGGTTGAATGCAATCAGAATGTAAAAGAAAAAATAGTTGCAGTCCCAAAGATATTTCTAAACCAACCAGAAAGTTGGACCAGTTTACAAGTTTTCCAAGACAACTTGAAAAATTAGACAAATCTGAAATTGGGACAGCAGCCCCCATCCCTTTCATAAGCACGGGGAGAGGTCATCAGGAGGTTTGGGCTGAAGTGTCATCAGTACATTGATGACATGCAGCTCTGCCTCTTGTTGTCATCAAAACCAGGTGTGGCAAGCTCTGTTCCTGACCAGTGCTGGGGCTTGGTCACAGACTGGATGCAGGTCAATAAGCTGAAGCTCAATCTAGAGAAGATGGAGGAACTGTTGGTGGGGAGTCTGTCTAGCCAACTGGGGAATTTTAAGCATTCGCTCTGAAGCAGGGGTCTTCTGTCTGGGCTGCAGACCGGTACCGATCCATGCCCTGTTAGAAACCGGGCCACATAGCAGGAGGTGAGCAGTGGGCCAGTGAGTGAAGCTTCGTCTGTATTTGCAGCCACTACCCAGCCCTAGCATCACCGCTGGGGAGCAGCTGCAAATACAGATGATCATTAGAGCCCTTTGGGGTCTTGGGCCTCCAAAGGAGGAGGGAGCGGCAGCAGCGGCGGCGGCAGCAGCAGAACCTGGTGGCAAGTGACGTGGAGAAGCCACAGTGGGCATGTGTGAGCAGTGAGGGAAACAGGAAGCAGGTAAGGACTGGCCTGCAGGGCTGCGGGCCAGGGGAGGCTCCCACTGATTCTGCATTGTGGTGAGTTGTATGTTTCATTATATACTACAATGTAATAATGCAAAGTGCACAATAAATGTAATGCACTTGACACCTCCCCCCCACCTCTCTGGTCCATGGAAAAATTGTCTTCTAAGAAGCAGCCCCTGGTGCCAAAAAAGTTCAGGACTACTGCCCTAAAGGACGAGGTTCACAGCCTTGGAGTGCTCCTCATGTGGATTCGGTAGCCAGGAGTGCTTTTTACCAGCTTTGGCTGGTATATCAGCTGCATCCCTTCTTGGATGAGTGGGGCCTTGCTACGGTTATCCATGCACCTTGCTCCTGAATTAATGCAATGTGCTCTGCATGGGGCTGCCCTTGAAAATGGTCTGCAGACTGCAACTTGTCCATAATTGGGCAACATGCCTGCCAACCAGGCTGGGTATCTGTGAACATATCACCCCAGTCATGCACGGGCTGCACTGGCTGCCAGTTGCCATCCGGGCCTGATCCAAGATGCTTACAATAGCATATAAAGCCCGAAATGGCTTGGAGCCACGCCAGGGTAACGCCTATCTCCACATGGACCAACCCAATCACTAAAGTTGTCATCAGAGACGCTTCTCCATATCCCTCCCCATAGTGAAGTTAAGGGGGAGATGGCAAGGAGAAGGGCTTTCCCCATGTTAGTGCTCCAACTCTGGAATTCACTCTCTGAGATTTGGCCGGGCCCACTCTTTACATTTTTAAGTGCCAGTTAAAACCTCTCTCTTTTGTAAGCATTTTGGTGGATGAGCTGCCTGGTTCATTGTTCAATGGTTTTTAATGATTTCTGCTGGCTTTCTGCTCTCCCACTTTTTAATTTTAGTGCAGATTTTACTATGTATAATTTTTGTTTGTTTTAGTAAGATAATTTAGTGTTTATTGTTTAGTTTTGTTATGACCAATTGTATTGTTTTAATCATGTTGTGAGCTGCTCAGAGATCCTATGGCTAGGAGGACACAGAAAATTAAGGTATTCCATGTAAAATTAAGGTATTTCCATACCATTTGGAAAACTGGATATGCATTGGGTACAATGTTGTGAATGCATACCTGGGAGTAAGCTCAGTTGGAAATAAAACAGTGTGCAAGAGAAAGCAGTGTACATGATTGAGCTGTAAGACTTCTTCATTACTGGAAAGGAGACATTTGCTCACCTATTCCTTAGAACAGGAATATGAAGTATAGCTTCAAATGGCTAGGGTAGCCCAAAATTGATTAGAAAGTTGTAACATGCTACATACATGATTCAAGGTGTACCAGTTCATTTAAAAAGGAATCAAAAGTGAAGGTGGGGCATGTTCAATCTAATGCTCAAAATATAAAAGGGAGCTTACTTTGCAATAGTAAACAATGCTACAGCATAATGCGAGTCAAGTGACACACAAGGGAGGAAATGATTGGCTGTGGCAGTTTAAAATGACACTTTTTGGCTTTTGCTGTGAGAGAAGGAATTCATAGCAGGGGCAGGAAGACACATTGGTGCTTGCAGATCACAAGCTTCATTTACTGTTAACCTTGTAATGTACATTCCATCTCCTCTCTGGTGTAATTGCAAAGATTGGCAAGCTCCTTATTCTGGTATGTACGTGTAAAAATATGAACCACCAACATTCCAGGTGTGCTTTTTTGAGAATGCTTTATTTAAAAACAGCAACAGATTTTGTTCTTGATGGCATATGAGACCTAACAAAGCCAGTAAACCTTTTCATTATGTAATTTTGATTCATCACATCATTATTTTGCCTGAACATTCCCTATGTATGCATCAAGCAAATTAATATCAATACCTAAAGTTTTTCACTTATTTAAAATTAAAAACACATATACACATCATACCACAAGGGAAACAAGAAGAAAAAAAATCCCAACAAGAAGAAAAAAAATCCCAACAAGGCAACATCCCATTTGACACTGCCATTAACTAAAACTGCATGCCTCCTCTGTAGGTGAGCTCTGTCAAAACAGCAATAGAAGGTTCTCCCCCAAAATCAGCTTTGGGGACGGGTTCAACTCTTATTTTTTAAAGGCTGTGTTATATAACAGTGCAGTTCTATAAATGTCTAAACTGATATAACCCCCTTTGAATTCAGTGAGGCTTACTCTCAGGTAAGGATAACTTCAAGAAAATAATGATTTTTTTTTCTTGAGGGAAACCATCATGCCAACAAACACTGTTGGCACTGAACTAGAGGCCACAGATTTAAAAATTCATTTGTGGTTTATAAAAATTAGAGAGCAATTTTATGCTCCCACAGAACATCGGATACTGAAGATTTCCCCCTCTGAGGTCACTGCTACAATTTCAGGAGGAGAAATCCAGATCAGGGCATTCACCTCTCTTCCCTCTAAAATGAATGTCCTCGGTCAGTGGTGGCAAACCTTTTAGAGACCGAGTTCCCAAACTGCAACCCAAAACCCACTTATTTATTGCAGAGTGCCAACACTGCAGATTCAAATATGCCAGGGAGACAGCACATTAAAAGAATCTCAGTCTCTTAATTAGAACATCTCTTTGCTAAATTGTAGATATTAATTTCAATTTTTCATAAGAAAACTAAAAGCTAAAATCTTGTGTTAATAAAAAAGAATGTATTAAAGCTCATAGCCAGTCCAAGCAAATCTCAATCTCTCTCTCTCCCCTCCCCCCAACCCATTGGCAGCGCACTGACCAGCCATGCGAAAGCTTGGACGAATTGCAGCGAATGAGTCGCATCTCGTGACATCATCCCCTGGCGCCGCTACTACTTTCCAAGCAAGTGCATGGCCCCTATGTGCGCTGTTATCCGATGCTCGGCTGCTGGGGCGATGCTGGGGTGACTTGGCTCGTGTGCCAACAGAGAGGGCTTTGTGTGCCCCCTGTGGCATGCATGCCATAGGTTCTCCACCACTATCCTAGGTAATGTGGATACATCATTTACAAGCTTCCTCCTCATTTTTGATCATTGGCTATACTAGTGGGGGCTGATGGGAACTGAAATCCAAAACTCATAAATAGCACTAGTTTGGGGGAAAAGCCCTAGAGTGAAAAGAACTCTCTTCTCACTGATGCTAGAAAACACTTTCATGTCGTTGCAGACATGAATTAAGCGGTTCTATCCCTTCAGCTTGTCCAGTTGACAATGTCCTTGCAGAGAATACACTTTCCCTCCTGATCTCCGAGGAGTCACTCAGCAGCACCTTCCGACCTATCACCTTCATGAACTTTTCATAGAACTCTTTTGATGCAAAGTAGTAAATGAATGGATCTATGCAGTTGTTGAAGCAGCTGAGACACAGGGTGAGTTTGTAAATGTGATAGTAGCCCTCTTTCCCATTGAGACGACTGAGGATATGCACCAACAGGATAATATTGTTGGGAACAAAACAAATGATGAAAACCAGGAGGACAAGGATAGCTAAGTAGACTGACCGAGTCTTCTGTCCGTTGCCGTATCTGTGGGAAGCCTGGACGAGCTTCCAGATGATGCCAATGTAGCAGGCTACTGTCAGTGTAAACGGAATGCAGAAGAAGAAGAAAAATGGCATCAGGAGGAAAGCTGCCCATGCAGCAATGTTGGGTAGCATTGTCCATTTCAGGACATCAAAGCAAGTTGTAATATCCAGTTCTTTCACTTCATAAGTCAGGTCTGCTCTTGCCAGTGGCCAACAGGCCAACAGGACAAGTACCCACATCACAAAACAACCCACAATAGCACAGTTCCCTCCATCCCACTGTTTAGCTTTCAGTGGGTAGACCACTCCCAGGTAGCGCTCAAAACTGATGCAGGTCATGGTAATTATGGAAGAATACATGTTTGCGTAAAACATCACGGTGACAAAGCTACACAAGTGCTTGCTGTAAAACCAGTGGTTCCCATATATGTGATATACAATCTGGAAGGGAAAACAGGAAGCCAGTGCCAGATCTGTGATGCTGAGGTTAATCATGAAGATGACTGACCTTGTTTTCGGCTTGATGTGAAAAAAAAGAACCCAGAGGGAGAAGCTATTTCCTGGAATGCTGATGAGAGCGATAATAGAGTAGACAACTGGCAAGGTGATCCGAATGGCCGGGTTCTTGAGCATCTCCAAAGTTGCATTGTCCAACCCGGTCGTGTTTTTATACATTTTGTATGATTGACTTCTTGGTTCTTGATAGTCTGCAGAATTCTATCATGAAGTTTGAGTCTGTGACCTAGAAAATGTGCTGGTGTAGAAAAAAATGTATGAAAACAAAAAATGGGAATAATTAGAGTGACACTTCAGCTTTATTAATAGTTCAACTATTTCACTGCAGTTAGATGACCCCACGTTATTATTGTTTGAATATTAATTATTACTTACGATCATGTAATAATGATATATTTTGTATATCTTGCAATCATAATCTGTTGTAAACTGTAATAAATATATTTGATTTTTAATAATCATAATATACATATTCACATACATATGTATTCATTTTCTTGAAAGAAGATGTATTTATTAGTATTACCATAGATATTAAGAATAATTATAAATAATTTAATAGTTTTATCCAGTACTGTATTACAACAGCTAGTACCAAGGTGCAGTATGATATAAGTTCAACACATCTGAGATGATTAAGGATGATTAAGAATTATAAATGAGATGATTGGATTACAATTATTTTACCAATAAATCATTTATGGGGCAGTGATAGCAAGCTGTGAGAAGCCAGTCCTTCCCTCTCCTGTCCAGAAATGTCTCTGAACAAGGAGGATGCCCAGAGCTGACCAGGCATATGCAGGCCACTGAATCCGCATCCCTACCCGCCCAAGCTGACTTTCCCCCTTCACTCAGCCTCATGTTAAACAGGGGCATGCTGGAATCACCCACAGGCTGCATGGCCAGATCATTCCAGGCCACTGATTGGTCAGTGGCAAATTTGCCTCCCAGGGTGTTGCCCAGGCACCATAGAAATGACATTCCTTATTTCTCCAGCAGCTGGCAAAGAATCAAGATTCAGTCAAGCCATGGGATCCCAACCAGACCATGCCCCTCCCCTACATTTGAGAGCTCCTTGGGTGTGATGTGAGGGCCACCACTTATAAATTGTCAAAAGAGAAGGACACACATCACCAGAAATTCCCATTTCATCCTAACATAGATCATTGTAACCAAGCGTCCTTCCTGCCTTGCTCAATCTACCATTCGGGTGCTAACTCCCAGACACCTGCTAACCCTTCTGATGGTACATTCTCTGAACTTGAAATGGATGGACGACTCAAAATAGAGGGCACTGTTCTGGCAGCCTCTCATAGAGAGGACTGTCCTACGTAAAAAGGACACATGGGCAGCCTATGTTTCTGCTAAGTTTCAATTTTCTAATTCTACATTTAATTTTGTTTTGGAAGTGAACAACCATTTCTGGGCTTTTTTTTTCTGCTTCATTCTTTAGTACATATACTCAGCTGGAGACAGGGAAATAGCGTTCATTTGCTTAATCTGTAAGCTGGCTGGACTGCTTGGCAAGCCTACTGAATGTGTGTGTGTGTGTGTGTGTGTGTGTGATAAGCTGGGCACTCCACCAAAATGAATGAGAAAGCTATTTTAGGAGAATGTGTTTTATTTAAAAAGTGTTCATATTTCAGCTAAAAGTTCATAGGGTAATTTACAGCAGATCATGGGTCAATTATAATTGCAAAACAACACTTAAAATGAAGAAAATAAAATCTGCAGGATTTAAGCCATCAGATTCAAGACAAAGAAAATGTAAAAAAAAATGCCAGGCATCTAAAAGGACTGGCAATAAGCAACCCTTCCACTGGAGAAAACTCCTCAAGAGGGTTGCCAGAATTAAGAAAGCCCTTCCCATGCAACTGCTTGACTCGCTGAATTGATGGAGGAAACAAAAAGGGCTGCCAAAGAAGAGCTTACAGAACAGGCAGGTTGATATAGGAGAAGACGACCTCGCAGATAGCCATCTCCCAACAGCAAGCGCCAGCGCCAGCGCTCCAGAGATGTTTCCAGCGACTGGTCACAGTCTAGCAGCTGCATAATGAGCTAGCGCAGTATTTGGTCATTCTACAAAGGCTGCTGCTCTCTCAGTAATCAGTTGCAGTGCTGTAAATGGTATAGACATGCACACACTTTGCAGGGCCGCAAAGGGCAGCCCAATCACCCAAGTCAAGGCGCCCAGTTCCCAAGGACCCCCAAGTTATTTATCACCGAGGCAGAAAATGCTCAGTAAAAATGGGCAGTGCAAATGCAGCTTAATTCATTAAATAACTTTTATTTTCATGATGCCTGAAGTCCCTTTGCTTAATGATAGGACCATCCCTGCATGATATTTTTGCTATCCAAAAGCACCCCATGAAGTAGATCACTTTTTATGGGGCGGGGGGGGGGGGGGAGAGGCACCTTTTCCCCATCTAAATCCATCACTCTGATTCTTGTGCCTCACTCTTTGCCCAAGGAGCTCATTGCTGTTTTTCAGCCATTTCCATGCAGTCTCTCATCCAGGCAGTTTTAGCCTGGGCAGGTGCCTTACTTTCCAGAGGACTGTGCTGTGTTCAGTGTGCTCTATCAGAAGGGCTGTCCCATTCGAATGCAGTTAAGAGGAGAGAAGAGAGCAGCAACCTTCGAGTTGCACAATATGTGCAAACAATGCAGAGGTTTGTTCAGTCCTACGTTTTGCAGTAGTGGGTTTTTTTAATTGCTTAAGTATTGTGGTAAATAGTTTCCGTTTTGCAGGTCTAACTGTACATTGCTAATTTTTGGCACAGTGAGGCCATTTTCAGAGTTGAAACCAAAGTTGTAAAAAGCAGAGATTTCTGCTCTATATGCCTGGCTTCATATTATATCTGTGTTGCTGTGGTTATTTCTTCCCTGCCCATCAACTCAAAGGCTCCCTGGGCAGTTTACACACTAAAGTTAAACTATTTATTTATTTATTTAAACCATTTTTATGCCGCCCCATTCGCAAAAAGCCTTGGGGCGGCTTACAACAATAATAAATAAACATAAACAGTTTATAGAATTAGAGTTAAAAAAAAGGAAACATCTCGGCATTTACATAAAAACCCCATAAATACAATTCATAAATTAACAATTAAAATAACTTTTAAATAAAAAGGTCTTGGCCTGGCGCCGAAAAACAAATAACGATGGCGCCAGGCGGACCTCTCTGGGGAGCGCATTCCATTGATGGGGCACCACCGCAGAGAAGGCCCTACTCCGGGTACTCACCCTCCTAACATCCTTCACAGAGGGCTCCCAGAGAAGGGCTTCTGCTGCCAATCTCAAGGGGCGGGAGGGCATATATGGACGCAAGCGCTTCGTTAGATAACCAGGTCCCAAGCCGTTGAGGGCTTTATAGGTGATAACCAACACCTTGAATTGGGCCCGGATTTCAATGGGGAGCCAGTGAAGCTGATGGAGAACTGGGGTTATATGAGAACAATGCCCAGTCCCCATCAGCAACCTGGCAGCTCTATTCTGCACCAATTGAAGTATCTGGACCGTCTTCAAGGGTAGCCCCACGTAGAGCACATTACAGAAGTCTAATCAGGAAGTTACCAGTGCATGTGTCACTGTCACCAGGCAATCATTTTCCAGGTAGGGGCGCAGATCAGCCGAAGCTGAAGGAAAGTGCTCCTCGCCACTGCTGTCACCTGAGCTTCTAATGACAGCTCTGGGTCGAGGAGCAATCCCAAGCTGTGAACCTTGTCCCTAAGAGGGAGTGCAACCCCATTCAGGACAAGGTCCAGGTCCCCCACCCCAAAGCCCAAACCACCTACCAACAGGACCTCCGTCTTGTCTGGATTGAGCTTCAGTTTATTGGCCCTCATCCAGCCCATTACCTCGGCCAGGCACCGGTTCAGTACAGCCACTGCCTCACCTGGATTGGTAGAGAACAAGAGGTAGAGTTGGGTATCATCAGCGTACTGATGATTCCGCAGCCCACACCTCCTGACGACCTCTCCCAGGTTTCATGTAGATGTTGAATAGCAAGGGGGATAAAATGGACCCCTGTGGAACTCCATGGCATAGCTGCCATGGCGCAGAGACATAGTCCCCCAGCACCACCTTCTGGAATCGGCCGTCGAGGTAGGAGCGGAACCACTGCAAAGCAGTGCCTCCAACTCCCAATCCTGCTAGCCTATCCAGAAGGATACCATGGTTGATGGTATTGAAAGCTGCTGAGAGGTCCAGGAGAACCAACAGGGACGCACTCCCCGTCTCTCTCCCTGCACGGTCATCATACAGGGCGACCAAGGCAGATTCAGTACCATACCCGGGTCTGAAGCCGGACTGAAATGGGTCCAGATCATCAGTTTCATCCAAGAGTGCTTGGAGTTGTCTCGCCACCACCCGCTCTAACACCTGTTTTTGTTACATATTTTATGGAAATTGTTTTGCACCCAGCATGTCACAATACCTTGGTATAAAATTAATAGTTTGCCCATACTTGGAGTGCTACGTAACATTTATTTATTTATTAGATTCAGATCCTGCTTTTTTCTTATAGCAAACTCAAAGTTGCTTACATCATTCTCCTCTGCCTCCTCTCAGTCTTATCCCCACAACAACAACCTTGTGAAGTAGGTTGGGATGACGGTCTGTGATGGGGCCAAAGTCACCCAGTTGGCTACATGGCCACAAAGGAACTAGAACCCAGATTGCCTGAGTCCCAGGTCCAAGCTCTTAACCACTGCACTGCACTGACTCTCCATGGAGTTTTTGTTGCTCCATTAAATATATAAGAAAATGGAAAAGCTTCCCTGAACTACCAGCAGATGTGTTGGACTCCCAGAATGCCCAGCCAGTGGAAGGTGAAGCCTAGATTACAGAGAATAACAACAAAGAAATTATAATAGTTTGATTTTTGACTTTAGAAGTCAAATCTTTTGTCTGTGTGTGTGTGTGTGTGTGAGGGGGGGGGGAGAGAGAGAGAGGGAGAGAGAGAGAGAGAGAGAGGGATAATTGGAGGACGATATGCCACTTCCAGAGAGCCCATTGTTGGTAAGGTGGAAAAACAAGTAGCGTTTCTTGACCTTTATTCAAACTTCTTTTTTCTCACGCATTTTTATTTAGGAAATGCCCATTATGAATTTGCTAATTTTCAAATGCAGAACCCAGAGCTTGGCCACAAATCCCCAGAATTACTTCTGTGGTATGTACATTTCATTCCTTAATGGATCACTGCCTTATCATGACAAAGGGCCTTTCATAGCTCAATGA